ATTATATATATATATATATATATATATATATATATATATATATATATATATATATATATATATATATATATATATATATATATATATATATATATATATCTCCCTAATTTTATAATTGCCTATTGCTTTTATAATGTGTTTTTTTCCGTTTGTTTATAACATCGTTTATTTACTGTGCGATCCACTCATTCTCTTCCTTCTACTGCACACCGCACTATTCTTCTCTCAGGCGGCGGTATATGAAGATGATGGGGAATGGATTTTCTCACTACCACTTCTACTTTCTCCAGGTTTTTGTCATTCCATCTCTCTTTCTTTTTTCCATTTTTTTAAAATCTTTTTTTGACTTCTATGTGCGAATTTGAAAAAAACAGAATTTTTTTTATCTATGGATTCATTGCATGCTCATTTCGAATTGGGTTGGAGTGAAAAAAAATTAGATCTATTCTTGTTCTTCTTCTTTTAAAATTGAATTGTATTGAAATTGCCCATATGGTCAGTTTGTTCATCCGTTCTCTTATAGCATGTTTTAGGTTCAATTTTAATCACACATTTGATTTTAAAGATCAGGATGTTTTGAATTTTTTTGCATGTTCATTTGGGAGTGCCTATGTTGTTAGTTCTTTTTTAGGCGAGCTCCTATTTTGGGTTTGTATTTTGTTTTGATACATCTAAGGGATGAGTATTGATTCCGAATTGGTACATGTGGATTAAAAAAACTTTCCAGACTAGAATTATCTGATCCATGTCTGTTTTGATCTCTTTCTAACTTCTTTTATTTTGAATTTAATTGGTAATTTTATTTTCTTTATTTGAATGTATTCTGTGTTTTTATTTTCTTGATTTTAATTTAAATGGTGATTTTATACCTTTTTGATTTGAGTTTAATGGGGTTTTTTACTTCTAACTCCATAACCAACTCCATAGGTTAAGGCAAATTTTATAAAATTGAATTTGATAAAATTAAATTTTAATTGATGTAGAATTTTATTATAATGACGAATTCTTTGTTTCAAAACCCGAAATTGTTAATGTAGTAGATTTCTTTTTTGACATTTTTTGCATTAGAAATCTGCTTCTGGATTTAGCAGTGCAAGAATTATAAGCCTATTAGCAGTCCGAGATAGTGAAAAGAGCAGCCTCTGGATTCTCATTGTGTTTCTGTTTATTGGGGAGACACTGACATTGTCTTGTGTGTTTGATTCCAGATCTTTTCTTATATGAGTTGTATTATGTTCAGTGTGTGCACTTGTGGTTTGGTTATTGTTTGAAATTAAATTTTTTAACTAACTTTTTTGTTGTTTATTTTGTACTCAGATAGTTACCAGTGTATACTTCGCAGCGTATCTTTTCTTTGTTGACTTGCTGGTTTGCTTCTTACTCCCTCCGTCCCACTGTATTTGTCCACTTTCATTTTTACACACCATCCAATGCACTTCTTTAATCCATTTTATCTTGTAATTTGTATATTAAAAAATTATAAAAATTATATATTAATAATCTATATGTTAAGATAAATCAAACAAGATCACACATGACTATATTTAAGCTTACACATTGAGAAAATTTGATAAGTCAAAGTGCTTAGATGAACAGTTTCAAAAGTCAAATGTGGACGAATACAGGGGGACGGAGGGAGTATTTTTTTTTGCTTTTCTATCTACATTTGGAAATGAATAGATTCTCGATATGCATTATTATTTTGTTTTTCCATGCGTTGGCCATGAAAACAATAATATCAAGCAAACGGTTTTTCATCCATTAAATTAAATTCTCACGTAAATTTGATAGGATTCCATTTTGCATTAATTTTCCTTAAAAATTAGATACTTGCTGTATACATGGAAATGATCCGTATGATTGTTCATAAAAATGCTGTCTCTACTACTTTAAAAACTTGATGATTGATTGAATCAGGAAGATGGATCGGAGTTGTTTTCTTAGGGAGGGTACTCTTCTACTTTAAGAACTCAATGTTTCTTATGAAGAGACCCGTGACCTCCCAACACAAATGTTGTCTCTTCTCTTTTGGTCCCTTGTTGGATTAAAGTTGTTGTCCATTGTTTTGTTTCACCTTTGGTTTTAAAATTTTAGTAGCAGATTACTATGAACCCAATCACATTTTGTTTCTTACTTTTGGTCTTAAATTTATGCTCCTGTTGCATGTGCAGATAAAACTTTGTCCATTATTTTGTTTCACTTTTGGTTTTAAAATTATGCCCTTGTTGCATGTTCGTAAAAACTTTGTCCAGTGTTTTATTTTACTCTTGGTTTCAAAATTATGACCCTATTTTCACCTAGCAGATGCAAACCGCTTATGCTCACCATGTGGGACGAATTCGCAACTGTCCAAGCCTCCGAACTTGGGAAGATACTTTCAAGTGGTAGGTATCCACTAATATTCACAAAGAGAGTTGCTGCCACATCTTTCCAAGGTAACCCAAATCTTCTCCTATCACAAACTGCATACATACATACATATATCTCCCATAAAAAGAATTAAAACCCTAAAGTCATGTATCTGCCTTTATACATGCAGGTCTATCCTTGACAACGCGTTACGACACATCCATAGAGATAAATCCCACAACCCCTCAGGCACTTACTCTAAGAGAATGGTATGTATATCAACAATTATTATTTTTCCAAATTTAAACTACAGATTCACACCAAATTTAATCTTACAGGAGCACATCAAACACAACATCAATCGAAAACCTTCTCTAGAAAGATCACCACCACGACACACTTGCTCGATTTGTACGTCCAGATTGTTTTTTAAAGTCAACTACCTGTCACGTGAAAACATTAGATGACAAGGTAACATACACGTCGCAAATTGCCTTCTTCTCTTCAAACAGGAACAATGGTTTATTCTTCCACTCTTCATCAAAAGACACTCACTAACCTTCACTTCAACACCACGGTCTAATCGAGAACGTACACCAACAATGGAGTGCTCCACGGTGCACTCTCTTAAGAAACGCCCGTGGGGGACTATCGTGTCCTTGATCTAAAAAAGAACATTCCCTTATAAGATAAAAACCTTCTAAATGTGTCATTATAATTATTGGGAATAGAGAGAGATACAGGTCACTCTCGGCAGATTACCTTGCATTTATCAATTTTGGTTGGCGGTAGGAACTTTAGGGACGTATAGAAAGGTGACTTTGGATCATAGAACTCAAACTTTGGAGCCTATCACAGAGAATCCAAAGTTATTTTCAGGAAAAAAAGAGTAATAAAGAAACGCCTCTTCAGTAAAGACTAAGTTAGCATCATAGAAAGATTTTATTGTCCCAATGTCTTCCCAGTAGTCTCTGAAAATGTAAGCCTGCAAAGATACTCTCGTCATGTTAATAATACAAGTGCCCGAGTTAACGAAATATATTGTACTATGCATACCTTAGAACTCATTTTGTAAATGAAAAATTGAATTAAACGACCATTAACCATTTCATACTTAAACATTGTGCTCTGTCACGGCATAACACCCCTCATTTTGATTTCTAACAGGAACAAATCTTCTGGATCGAAGGACATATCATAATCCTCGAAGATGGTCCTCCACCATACTATATAGGATGCGATACTTGCAACAAAAAGGTAATCTTCACCGAAGGAATAACATTCAAATGCTTGCACTGCGGAAAGAAAAATTCAATCACAACAAAACGGTATACTCTTTTACTCCATTCTCTTTCCAATTAGAAAGCAGTGATCAAAATTAAAAGATATCAAATTACTCATCGTAATTAAAACATAACAGGTACAATATGAACGTGGAAATAACTGACAACACTGGAGCATTGGCTATGACAATCTTCACACACGAATTCCAAAAGCTGTTGCGTATTCTGCAAACGAATGCACCAATTGAAGACATCAACTGCACCGATCTCAACAACCAACTTTGGCCAATGACAGCCATAACTGCAATCAAAATCATACTACCAAATTACCAGGGAAGGAACGAAACAACATACGCAGTCCTATGCCTTTATAGTCTCTCAACCAACGAAGCACTGACAATTTCTCACGCGACCGCACCAAAAAGAATTCTCACAGACCAATCCGAAGGCGTGGGCGATCAAAACGAGAAAAAACAAAAGATCGACTGAACTGAAGCCTTAGGAAGCAATTACAGCCAGCTTCTGTACAAACACCTACGTAATACTCACACCGTTTTCCAAACCTCGAATATGAAATGGTGTGAAGGCAAAAAATAATGCATGCGCGTCCTCTCAAACATGTTCCCAAACTTCTTTTGTCAACTCACGAGAGAAAACACAGTAATGCAAATGCCAGTAGGCAACAATGTAAACTTAGTGATGCAACTTATCTTTTGACTCCATCATGTAAATAGTATGCCTCTATTTACTGATGACATGCACTCATGTACCTTTGACTCCATCATGTAAACACTATGCTTATGTTTAATATTTAAATATATTAGTAACAGCAACAAGGTACCCACCGGGCAACCAATACGCAAATGCGCATTCCAACGCTAGTATATATATATATATAAGAAAACAAAAATTGAGCTCTAATGTCCCCCGTGATTTCAAAGAGATGAGCTCAAATTAACAAAGAGATGAAAAAGAGTTTAAAAAAGAAGAGTAAAAAATAAACAAAAATAAGAAATGAGCTCTATTAATGTCCCCATGATTTGGAAAACATGCATCAATGTCTCTTATTTTCTAGAAAATCACACAAAAAATGATTAGAGGGTGTGGATGTAAGGTTGTGAAACTACGAAAATTTTAGAAATAAGTTTTAAAAATAATGGAGGTATTGATGCTAATTTTCTAAACCATAGGGGGCATTGATGCTATTTGGCCCCTATATGTTTGTATATGTAAAATGGCACCTTCCAAAACACATCATAATAATAGGTTCAGTTAAACCAATATATTTTTATTTTCTTTCTCTTATTCCTTTGATGTTGGAGGTAATTTGCACCCCAACACAAAGTAGGGGTGGGCAAGGAAAAAGAAGAGCAGGGAAAGTTGACAATTAAAAGGGCAAACTTGAAAAACCAATGAATTTCAAGCTGTGTGTTATGGTGGCGTGGGTGCCACGACCTCCTTCACAACCCAATTGCCATAACACCAAATTTGGAATGAGGTGTTAATATACGTTGCACTCTTTCATGTGATGTCTTTCACTCCCCAAGTTTTTTTTCACTCTTTTTATTGAATTCCAAACCTATGGAACATTAATAAACATTTGCCCAAACAACCAAAATAATCAATATTTGTACCATCATCTTTTGGTCATCCCCTTTCAAACCTCATAAGGCTCACACACATGTGGCGTACGTGGCATTACATCGTCTCTTAAGCTCCTCCAGAACACATGGACTAATACGATAATTTATCCAAATGGAAAATTCAACAACTATGAAATTGACCCTCCTTAACTCCATTTGTAAGTGTTATCTCAATACAACAACACAATAGGAAAGTGCAGAGTGCCCTCCCAATTCTTTGGAAAATTGGGAATTCGCCAAAGTTGGGCTCTACCACCAAACATAACGGTTTTGAAAAGTCCCATCCTGAAGAGTATTTGACTGGCTACAGTAGTGTTCTAACGCAGAATTGTCTATATACTATACCCTCCCAAGAAGGAAAAAATAATTAAATTGTATATGTGGAAATTCAAACAGAACTGAAAGAATTAAGCGTCCGTTTGGTACACGGAATTGACGGAATTGGAATTAAAATTTTGTTGGACTGAATTAGATGGAATTGAATTCTCCAATTCCAATTCATTTTTCACACTACTAATTTCAAATCTACATATTTTTATGCTACCAAGTATTAGAATTAGAATTGTAATTCCTAATTCCAATTCAATGGCTTGAATTCTGTATACCAAACGGGGCCTAATTTAAATTGCATATTTTTCTTGCTCAAAAGAGAGATTAAGGGAAAAAAGACTAAAATATACGGAGTAGTAAATTATTAAAAGTATATGACAATAGGAGTATTCCTGAAATACGATTTAAAGTTTATTTATATTATCAATCATGGTCAAATACATTATTAAAAAATATTATAAAATCTCCATATATAGTGTCATATTGCCATAACGCAAACTCCTATTTTGATGATAAAAATATTTAGGTACAGAGAGTGATTTCTTTTCATTCAAAGAGGGACAAATATCACGGAGTACTATTAAACTTTTGTCTGGCAAATTGAAGTACTTTCTCTATCTTGAATAAAATTTACACTTTCATCAAAAACGCTTTCTTAATACTTTTTTCCATTCTCAATATCCACTATACGGGCATGCTAGCGGTACACCAAATTGGGATACCTCATTTGTACCCCAGACAAATACAGACAAACATGGATACCTAGTGTTTGTGATCCACAGACACGTGTGTTTACCTGGTGTACAAATGGAGTACCCCATTTTGGTGTACCCCTAGATTTATTCTCTACTTTATATAGAATACTTTTTTAAGGAAACAATGTACCCGTGAACAATATTTGAAAAATAAAATACCTACATTATTTATTTTTCAATACTCTTTCCGTCCTCAAATATTTTACTCTTTACGCTAAACGAAGTAAAATCCTAAGTTTTTTCAATTTATTTTATTTAAAAATTGGTATATAAATAAAAAATAAAATTTACATATTTAAAAAGTATATATCAAAAGTTCCAAAAAAATAAGAGCTGAAAAAAATATTTTATTTCATCAAATAGTCAATGAAAACAGACAAATAAACAAAAGTTCTCGTATTTTTAGAATAGTAAATTGTGTAAATCATTTGGGAACGAAGAGAGTATAATAGTGCACTCCTTATATTTTTTAAAATTTCGTGCAGTCAAAAATGTAAAATTGTGACGAGTACACGAAGTATCACGTAACTGTTGGACCGGACACCTTAATTAGTCGTCATGAATTAATGCTTAATTACTTTTACTTTGCAAAAAAAGTGATTTTGTGAAAGCTAATTAATTATAGTCTTTTGCAAAAGTCCTAAAGTAATTATTTACAAACCCGAAAATCATCTCTACATATATAAATATATATACTACCATCTTAATTATATTGTCATCTCTTCAAGCTAAGGTGTAATCAAGAAACGGTTCATATTTAATTCATTCTTTTCACCTCATTTGCCAGCGTAACTCAGTTTCTCCGGTTCGTATATGGATACCTATAGAGGCCAGACCAGACCGCCGGTTTTGATCCGTTCTACGATTATTCCCTTATTTCTCCCGCGCTAAATATAACAAGGTAATTATGCATTATCACCCCCTTCATACGGCTAAGAACATACCAAGTAGTATTTCTTTAGAAATATTTGCACTAAATAGCACTAAAATGTAAGTCATTTTTCTAAATATCACTTAAACTGTTTTATTCTCTAAATGATACTTAATAATGTTCATAATGTCCAGTGATGACAAACATTTACTTCAATAATAACTAATGGATAATGGCTAAAAGTACTACATTAGGAAAAAAATACATATGATGCTCTATTTAGGGAAAGTTATTATGTTTTAGTGATATTTACGTAAATTCCTCATTTGTGTAATATATATGTCGATATATAATAACCTCGTTTGGGAACAACATTTTCGATTAGTTTTAGCATTTTAGATAAAAATTTAATGGTGTATATTAATTCTCAAAATGCTAACGCTAAAGGCTACTGTCAGATAGTTTTTTCGAAACGCTAATGCTAATCTCTAATAGTAATGCCAAACAAGACTAATTATTCATACCATTCCTTACATACAATAATATTATATGTGACACAATATAATGTATATGAAAAGTCAAAAATGTACAAGTAATAGTGGTGTATATATATTAGTGTTATTGCATTGTACTCCGTATATGTCATTGCATTTGTTTGTGATGGTAAAACACACCTTCGATGTCGATTTAATTTGTTACGGAAAAATTTTGTTCGTGACAATTAAACACTCTTTGATGTATACAAGCTAAGCTTGATTATGTGTGGGAAAACAATGTGGGAAAATGTGTGGGAAAAAAACATGTGACAAAACTTGTTGTTGGGAAAAGGAGAGCATTTTTTCCATTTTGTTGGGATAGAATCATGACTTTTATTCTGATGAAGATGAGTCGGAGATTAGTATTGGAAGAAAGCAATGTAATGTTCTTTGCCGTGTTAATTAGAACTACATGTGGTGCATAAATTTTTCCACAATACATGTCGAAAATTGTCTGTATGCCAGAAAACATTTAAATATCTGTATTATAACACGAGTAATATATAACTAATACTTCTTCATTCAGTCATAATTTTTTTCTGGGTAAAAGCCTTACGAGGTCCCTATATTTTTTCAAAAGTGCGTCTCAAGTCCCTAAATTATTTTAAGTGCTTCTCAGATCCCTATACTTTCTAACTAGTGCATACTCCATAGATAGTCTCTCCATTGACTTTTCCTACCTAAATTACGGCATACTATCAATTTTTCTTTAAAAAAATTAATCTCTTTTTGCCCTTCACTTCTTAGATTCCTATTTTTAAAAAGGTACTCCTTATATCCCTATATTTTTTGACTGGTGCATAAGTAGTCCTTCGAATTCCCACAGTTTTGTTGCATATCACTGGCATAACATATACTCCCTCCGTCCTAAAAAGATTTACACGTTTTGACTAAAGCTAAAATTAAGGGAGAGATAATTTTGTGTTGACTTTCCAAAAATACCCTTGATGTGATGGGTAAAAGTAGGATGCGATGTATAGATTATTAGGAAAAAGGTATGATGTGATAAGTAGGGTTTGAAAAAGTAAGGGGTAAAAGTGGTTTTTAATAGAAATGGGTAGGAGTTTGTGGGACATAATTTTTTTGAAAGGTGTACATCTTTTTGGGACGGAGGGAGTATTTTTAAAGAATGATATTTTATCCTTTTTTCATTTTTATTCAAGATGTGCTCCCAAATCATAAATGATGTTAAACACTACATATAAAAGAAAAATGGACGATATGTCGGAGTTTTGGCCAGAAAAGTCACTGGAAGGACTTCTTATGCACCATTTAAAAAGTACAGAAACTTGACAAGCACTTAAAATAATTTAAGGATTTGAGAATTAAGTATTCTTGGAAAAGTATAAGGACCTAGTAATTAAGACTTTTACTCAAAAAATTTTACATTTTATTTTTATTAGTCAAATTTTATAAATTTTGACCACAAATATTGAAAAAGATATTTTTACTAATGACGTAAATTTAATATAATTAGATTAATTTTGAGGGATACTTTTAATATATCGAGATCTATTAACTAGGGACTGAAAAGCTAAATGCAAAGATATTTTTGGAATGGGAGGAAGTAAAAGTCAGTCTCAGTCCTGTTTTCTCTTGGTATTAAAACGCATGCCTACGCAAGTTTGAATAATAAAAACTAAATTAGGACTATTAAACCGTACCACACCATAATTAATAAACCTATAAATACTCCCTTTAATTAACCCTTTAATTCAAAAACATCCTGCGTCCATATATTTTTCTCTCCTCGTCTCCAATAACTACTATAGTACTATACATCATACCGGCCAGGCACTTAGCTTTCCCTTATTAGTAATTCTATTAATTAATTCTTTGTTGTTATTATTCTCGTTTTTATTATTTGCTCCTAATATAATTCACGTGAACAAAAAAATTGTTTAAGTCGTTGCGTTTGTTCTTAACTAGTGCGACGTTTTGTTGTGTGCGATACCAGAAATGGCGAGTGTTACAGCGGGCAAGTCGCAAAAAATTTGGTGCGTGAGGGCAAGCACGCTATGTATGGGATGGAGGTTCTTTGTTGCTTTGTGCTGCTTGTTGCTCTTTACATCTCCTAGCCAAGCAACTAGGAAAGGGGTTCATCGCCATCCATCGTATGTTTAATTATGTTGTTATTCATTTGGATTTGCTTAATTCTTCTAATTAATTAACGTTACAAATTATACATTTATTCAGCCAACGTAACTATGCATGTATACTCAACGTACTACATACAGTTGCAGTTTGTATATATACATACAATGTACGTACGTAGAATGCGTTATAGAATTACGGATCGAGTATTATTATATTGAATTCAAGAAAAGGGTAATTAATTTTTTTAAAAGTATTACTCTTTCGATCAATTTTACACTAATATTTAAACAAATATTAATTGACTTGAAAATAACATAAGTCGTCAAACATCGTAAAATGTACGGTAAAGAAATCAATGGGACCGAGAGAATATATAAGAAATTATAGTTTTCCTTTGACATTTCATTTATTTATGTCTTCCTTATATTTTGAATTGTATATGTATACACAAGAAGCTATATTTATTAAGAAGTGCTAATAATATTTTCTTTGAAACTACAGGTCAAATTGGGCAAAACACACTCAAGAATTGAAGGCATCTACACCATTGAGACTTGACATCACACGGACGCATGTAAATCTAAACTCTATGGACATTGCAAATTACCAAACATAATTACAGATTTATAATTGGGTGTTACTCTCTTCGTCTCTGAATATTTTTCCACTATTGACATTTTTTTGTCAAAATTGGTTAGCTTTGAATTCAAATTAAATAAAAATAATACTAGATATTGATACAAAAATAGTTTTATTAGATTTTGTTATATGAAATATTTTCAAAATGTTATTTTATCTAATTAAAATACAATATTTATTTATTTAATTATATGTCAAAGATTGAAAACGATTGATTGAAAAAAGTAAAAATTGGACAAATACTCAGGGACGGATCGAGGTAGTATGCTGTAATAAAAAACCTACATGGATATGCATGCATATAATGTTTAAAGAAAACTCGACGAATAAAAGAATTAAAAATTTATGGTGGGTGTAGGTGGTGATGGACAATGGACTGGTGAGAGTGACACTGACCAATCCAACCGGAGGAATTGCAGAGATCGAATACCATGGAATCCGCAACGTGCTCGAATCTGGCTTTAAAGAAACAAACCGAGGGTATATTAGTAATAATAACAATAATAATAAATATTCCAATAATTAATAAAATTATACATGCATGCATGAAAACCCTTTGACAATATATATTTTTTAAATTATTCTAAAAGCAAGCATGCAATGTCACTTGCATTAATTGTATGCAGATATTGGGATATTGTGTGGAGCACGCCAGGAATGGGAAATGGCGTTGCCAACTTTGATACGTACGTTGTTAATAAGCACTTTTAAACTTCACCCAATAGACAATATATGATTATACTGAAATTTGCACTAAATAGGACTAAAACATAATAACTTTTCTAATGTAGGCCTTAAACTTTTTTTATTCTCTAAATAGGACTTAATAATGACCTTGTGGGAGGAATAATGTCCAGTCATGACGGAAATTTACTTGAATAATGACTGCTTAATAATGACCAAAAGTCCTATATTGAGAAATAAAAACATATGGTCTTATATTGGGAAAGTCATTATGTTTTAGTCCTATTTAGGTAAACTAGTCATGATTATATTATGTGTGCATTATGTATATAAAAGATATTGTGGCAAACTTGGCGTGACAGTTTTCGATTGGAATTGAAAAAAAAACATTTTTGAATTATTTTATCGGAGTTTTTCAAAATTATTGCATTGACTAAAATGGTTAAGTGTTTGTCCAAAGACCGTAAACAATCAAACTCGAGGAATCTAGTAATAAGGCAGTATTATTATGCAAAGAAATCACCTTTAAATAGGAGTAAATATAGAAAACATACCAAAGTAGGAACTTCATTTTTTATTTCCAAGATAGGAATTCGTATTGTAAGTAATGTGGCACTGTACATGGACATTTCACGGTATTATATTTTTTGGTAATGTATTGGGTCATGATTGACAGTGTAAATTGTTTTAACTCTTACTTCGAGAATAAAAACATGGAACTCTTATTTTGGTATATTTTCAATGTTTTACTCCTATTTTAGTCTTTTTCCATATCGTGGTTATTGCCATATCATGATGATGATCATGCATGCAATGCTGTGCGCAGGCTACCAGCAACAAGCTTCAGGGTAATAACATCAGACCAAAATCAAATTGAAGTCTCCTTCACAAAAACGTATGATCCAAGAGATCATTCTAGTGTTCCTTTGAACATAGATAAAAGGTACCTCTACATACTCTACATCTTTGATATCATTATCCATGTTTTCAATGAAATGATAAAATTAAAATCCCAAAATAAACAAAATATATAATGCTATAGGGTTATTTATAGCTGATTTAATTTGTACGTTATAGGTATGTGATGTTGTCTGGTCAATCTGGATTCTACACGTATGCGATTTACGAACATCTTAAAGGATGGCCTGACGTAGACATCGGCGAAGCTCGAGTTGCTATCAAGCTGCAAAGGAAATTGTAAGATGCACTACGTATATACCATATACTTTAATTAATTTTTTTATATGTAGGCTAGGCTATTTTATTTATTATTTGTTATTATTATGACAAGTCTAATTGCATTCAATTAATCGCGTATGCACGTACAGGTTCAATTATATGGCAATATCAGATGACATACAAAGAAAAATGCCAAACGACAATGATCGTTCCACTGGACAGACCCTCGACTATAAAGAAGCAGTTTTACTAACCAACCCATCAAATCCAAGTATGAAGGGCGAGGTATACATATTTACATTTGTATATTCATCTTATTACATACCGGGATATATGTACTTATCTTATATTCCCTTAATATTTTTGAACTCTTGGATTAATTTTGTGGTATGCGAAAATATTTGTTTAGGTGGACGATAAATACCAATATTCGTTAGAAAGCAAGGATAATAAAGTACATGGATGGATTTGTGCCAAACCACATGTTGGGTTTTGGGTCATCGCGGGTGGCAACGAATTCCGTTCTGGAGGGCCGATAAGACAAGACCTCACCTCTCATGCTGGTCCAACCGCCTTATCGGTATGTCATTAATACTCTATATAATTAGTGATATTCCTAAATTACTACTTTGTATATATTTGTTAGAAAAAAGATTTTGATTTTGATTTTATGTTGCTGGGTCATTAGATATTTTTCAGCTCGCATTATGCCGGTTATAACTATGGTGTAAGCTTGAGAAATGGTGAAGCCTGGAAAAAGGTCTTCGGCCCTGTGTTTATGTATCTCAACTCTGATCAAGGAAATGATCCCAAATCTCTTTGGGAAGATGCTAAGCGCCAGGTACTAATTAATTAACTTAACTAGTTAATTGGGAGAATACATATCACATTTTAAATTAGTATGAAATTAGTTAATTACTAATGAGATACTTTGTTTTGTATATCATCATCATCATTAGATGGTTGTAGAGACTAAAAGTTGGCCATACAATTTCCCAAAGTCTGAAGACTATCCAAGTGCTAGTCAACGCGGTACAATTACGGGTCGATTGTTAATCCGTGATAGGTAATTTAAAATTTCGATTCATTTGATTTGTTTTAATTTCCACAGCCTTTTAATTTTAAAAACCAATACTATAGTCTCTCCGTTCCTGAAAACCTCTCTTTTTTTACATCCGTCCCAAAAAACACTTCTTATTTCTATTAAAAAGTCACTTTTACCCCTTATTTTTTCATACCCTACCCATCACATCATAACTTTTTACTAATAATCTACCCATGAAATCCTACTTTTACCCATCACATCAAAGGACATTTTTGGAAATTCAATACCAAAATACACTCCCATTAAATCTCTTCAAAATCAAAACATCCCATGTTTAAACGGACGGAGGGAGTATGTAATAAATTAATGGATTATATATAAATGTGTGTGTATATATATATATAGGTTCCTCAGTAAAGAGCTTATCCCAGCAAAAGGTGCATATGTAGGCATGGCCCCACCAGGAGAAGATGGATATTGGCAGGAAGATGCCAAGGTTGGAAATTATATATAACTTTCTAATGAACAAGTTTTATTTTTCAAGATGAATTGAGAACACAAATGATGAACATTTTTTGTATATATAGGGCTATCAATTTTGGACAGAAACAGATGATAATGGGTATTTCAAGATCAATGCAGTAAGATCTGGAACTTATAACCTGTATGGTTGGGTTCCTGGAGTTCTTGGAGATTATAGAAACAAAGAGGAGATTATGATCAAACCAGGAGAAGAAACCAGTCTGGGAGAGCTTGAGTTTGATCCCCCTAGAAATGGTCCGACCATTTGGGAAATCGGCATCCCCGATAGAAAAGCTATAGAATTTTTTATCCCTGATCCTTCACCTGGCCTCATGAACTACGCTCTGCTCAATCATACCGAAAAGTAATTACGAGTACTTGATATTCCCTAATTAACTACACACACACACACATACAGCCTTCCCCACACAAAGTGAAACTAACAAATTTCAAAACTTACAGATTTAGGCAATATGGATTGTGGGATCGTTACACGGATATATATCCTTCTGAAGATTTGGTCTATAAAATCGGAGAAAGTGATTATCGAAAAGATTGGTTTTTCGCTCATGTCAATAGGTACTTTTTGTGATTAAAAAGAACCTTTGCCTCCCCTTATTTAGAAATCTATTCTTCTTCTTCTTTTTGTTTTTGACAGTCAATTTTTTGTTAACATTACAAAATATTATGTTGTAGGAAAGTTGGGGACGACAAGTATGAACCAGCAACATGGAAAATTTCATTCCAACTCGAGAATGTTAGCCCGACAAGAACCTATACACTCTGGATAGCATTAGCTGCCACCAACTTAGCCAGGATTGAGGTTTGTATTACTATATGTAACAAAGGTTGCATAGCGTTTAGAATATAGTGGTATCATATAACGACATTTGTGTACTAGGTTTTGATAAACAATCTGAATTCACGCCCAAGATTCTCAACAAACGGAAGTGGAAGGGACAATGCCATCGCAAGACACGGGATTCATGGACTGTATACACTTGCGAGCTATGAGTTTTCAGGAACTTTACTTGTGGAGGGAGAAAACATAATATATTTGCGGCAACCAAGAGGAGGTTATCGCTTTAACGGTGTCATCTATGACTACATCCGTTTGGAAGGGCCACGCTTCTGATCAGACATGTATATATGCATACACGCGGAGGGTGGAAAGACAATGTCATTTATTTGTTTGTTTGTTTGTTTCTTCATGGAAATAGATAATAGTATATTGTTTATAGTGCATGAAGGGTGAAGTGGGGGTGATTTATTCTCAAATAGTAGTTGATTGTATTCTTTGATTTGTAATTGTATATTCTTTCATCATTTCCAATACAAGTTTTGAAATGATAATAAAGTTGATGTTTGTTAGTTTTTGTCTTCATATTCGATTGATTTTAACTTTTTTGCAAAGGTAGGGTCAAGTTTATGTTGTTTGTGTGATAGTTATTGTATACACTTACTCTTTGATATGAGTCTTATTTGCAATTGCTAAAAGAAAATCATGTTATGTATGTTTTATACTTCTCGATCTTGCCTTGAACAAATGGTATGTGCAACCCAGCATTTTGGTATAAAACATTTTTATGATCCAACACATAGTGCGTGCTACCTATTTACTTTGAACACCTAAACAAATGAATGCATGTAGCTCCTTTTCGCCACCGCAAACTGAGGATATGATTTTAAATAACAGCATATGGTAGTCTAGGATTGGAGTGGTAAGATGGTCCTCTAGACTTCAGTTTGTAGTTTTTGCATATGTTTTGTTGCACCTAAATTTGTAGTTTCTGCACTGTTTTGCATGCATTCTTATGTTGTTCGTTCTACTTTCCTACATCAATGTGGTCTTGTATCTTGAGCCAGGAGTCTCTTGGAAACAATCTTTCTACTTTCTAAAAGTAAAATTGACACGCACACACACCCTTCTCAGACCCACACTGTAAGATTTTTTTACTGGGTCTGTTGTTGACTGACTGGTTTTGTTAAGATTTAATTCCAAATGGTATAGACTATAGAATCACTAATGAGGTTAAAGGTGAGAGCAAGAAATATTGGATTTATTGTTGAATGTTCATATAGAGTGGTTTAGAGAGCCAAAGCATTTCCGAAAATTCTCTCTATATGTTGTGCTACATCACTGGGCATTGCATCCTCTACTCTATATAAGGTTAATAATGTCAATTGCGAGCCGCAAACAACCATCTTTTGGTAAGTAAATGGCCCATCGCCAATCTAGGAAGATAAACGCATCAAACCTGTTTATTTTCTTGTCTAATCACTGCACTTTGAGAACTATCTTCATGAACTCGTACATAAGATAGCTTATAGCAGCTGATGGCAAAACCTGAAGGGTAGATGAGAGAAAATGAGGCAAACAAAGGAAAGAAAACTTGAGGGAAAATAAAAAGGCTCAGACATCAAACTCAGTATAATTATTTTATTAAATACTTCTCCAAATCCATTTTATCTATATATATACGTAGTATTTACTAAACAACGAGTAAGAAATATATAAACATATGAAAAGTTTGAAAAAATTAACTTTTTTTTGCATTTCAGAAGGCAAAGCCAAACATAAGAAAATATCTTTAGCAAAAAAAATGTGGAGTCAGGCAAAGTGAGGCGTGAGATACCTGCAATAAGCTGGGAGTAAGTCCGGCATAAAGAGCGGGAACGCCACCTTGCTCAATAACTTTCCCAAAAGTTGCCAGTGCACTCATCTTGGAAGCACTTGTCTGCATCTGAAGCTGTCTTCTCACAACCTCAAAAGGGTATGTTGCAGCTTCAGAGCAACAACCAGCAATGGCCCCATACATCAAAGTTCTTAATGGACCCATCTCCAATTGTTCCAATGCATTCAGTTCTTCACCGTGTTCCTTCATATTCTGTAGCCGCTTCCTCCCTTCCGGTGAATGCAAATAAGACGATTTCAAAATATCATACACGCCATAGAAAACTGCACCTGAGGGTGCCATGCTTATGATAGAAGGAAGCAGTCCTTTGTAAAGGGAGAAGAACCCTTCGGTTCGGATCATATGACGGAAAGCACCAATTATGCCTCCCAGGGCTTCCCCTCCAGGTGCTACCATTATTGTCCTGACCTGAAATAGGTACAAGCAATAAACCAAAGCTGACTATTTAAAACCCATTTTCCGTTTTACTCAATGACGTCATTGGAATATCAAATTGCAATTTTTGAAGTATAGAATGTCCTAGAGCATACTGTCTGGTGTTTAAGAATTACTCCATACAATTCTAGATAGCCGATCTCAGATTATTGTATCATGTCTTGGTAGTTGGTACTACAGAGTATATAATAGTATCAAACAGTTAATATCAGAAATGGCCCCACAACTATTTACACTTTCTTATTTTAATGTAAGCAGTAAGCTATAAAATCTACTATTGTTCTTGTACCAATTTTGTAAATCCCCGAAATCACTAAACATACATTGAATCCGAGGGTAAATATTAAAAATCAAATCATTCGAAATGGAACTATAAATCAACAAGTCAACAACTCTGAGAGATTTCAAGACATATATGGGTTGACCTTACATATTTTTAGTCAAGGCCCAAGTGATTGATGATTCTTGTAATCAGTAATCAAATTTAGTACAAATCAATAGTTAGTTTACCATGTTGTTCAATTCAATAGCCGAAGATAGAAACTGTAAATTTCAATTGTAGAGGGATCATATTTTGCAAAACTCTAGTATCAGACTAACTCACTAGTCACTGTGACATTGCAAACCTGCTCCAAATTTCACTTATTGTGACTGCATGGGTATTTAAACTAAAACTGAAGCACAAAAATTTAGGTAGCAACGATAGTAATGTTGAAGTTATATCCATGGATAAGTGGATAACATATGATATGCCAATAAGTAAACCGTGTGTTTCATTAATGAAAAGCACTATTATGCAACAAAAATGTTTAATGTTTATGCTTATTCCATTGGGAGCACCTTGAAGAGGTGCCTCAATGTACACCTCAAGAATATAAGTAATAGCTTATTACTTTTTCTGCAATAACAACTAAAACCAGTAAAATTCCACAAAAGTAAGATCTGGGGAGGGTGTATGTATGCACAAAGTAAACAGAAAAAGAAAACCCAGTACCACAAACAGAGTAAGAGCAAAATAAGAACACAAAGATTTGAAGCATACAAACCAACACTTCAACTTCAACTAGATCCAAAGCACATAAAATACATATCCACAAGCTACAGATTAGGATAAAATGCACCAGGATAAACTACAAACTAAAGCCCAAAGGTTAACCCAACTACTCTAAACCCTAAACTTCCTTGTGCAATAAGAGGAAGTTAATTTCACCCAAGGACTGGTATTTCATAAATCCTTGCTCTAAAAATAAATCAGAAAACTCATTAACGGTTGTAAGATATTACTCACAGTGTCCATGGGTATGCAGAGCACAGTAGCAGTGATACCAGCCGCTGCACCAGCAATAAACATCTCAAAGTTTGTTGTTTCTGCATTGCCCGATGATTTGAGCAGACGGTCCTTATACTTTTCATAAGAATAGAAGTTTATAGCCTTAAAAGGAGCAGTGCGTAAAATATTGACCAAATTCCCTCTCCAAAACCCCTTAATTCCTTGACTGACAGCAATTGTCCTGATGAGATCAAAAAGTTTTTTCTGCTCACCACGGACCATGTACTCCAGTTTTAGTCTCTCTAGAGGTGCAACAAAGGTTCTGACAAACACAAGAAAATGAAGGTATTTAGAATTTTCTAGATGTCACGTTTTGGGTACAGCGGACTATATGCAAAAACTATGTAATAGGCAAGACTCAGTATAAAACAAAAAGCTACTCTGCACTACAGAAAAGAAGGTGGTATACTTGTGTGACATGTTAGAGTCAGTGTTTTTAATCACGAATGGCAAAACATCTGCAACGCCATGCCTCCCATTTAATATTACTGAGTAGAATAAGTGCTAAGACTATTAATGAAAGCCCACACTTAATAGCATGCATAGTTTTAAACTGCACCCAATAAATCTTTATGAAAGTCAAACATGTGAAAAGATTGATTATATAAAAATTTGTTACTACAATTACTACTTTCTGAAATTCTTAGAGATGCAGAATTTTAGCCATTCACTTCATTACATTGACAGAACAATAAATGGAGTCTTATACTCTTATACACGGAAAATTTCAATTTGCACCACTACTGCTTTCTCCTTCTAATGTTCCTTCTCTTAACAAAAAGTAATTCAAAGGAGGAATAAAATCTTGAATTTTTTGCTAAAAATTTAAATAAGCTGCTAGACACATCACAGAATCAAAGGAAAATGTGAATTTAGGCATTGCTGAAATATGTAACTAATGATGATAGAAGGGAGCACAAGTGAAAAAATTTGCAAGTTTATTGCTAATTTACAGAGTACATTGCATTTGCATTTGAAATATCATATTACTTTCCTTGTTCCTAATTCCTGTTGAAAAATCTTACCTAGAGACCATAGCGGCAACAGCTCCAGCCCAGAGATGCTTAGTAACGTTCAAGGCGCGCTGACCTCCGCTACGAACCCTAGGCTTCTCTTCCTCCCCCGTCAGCCGATACGCCTCTGCCTCTCTAGCCACGCCATTCTCACCGCTCGGCCCCAAAATCTCGCTCGAGTCCTCGCCGTTTTCTCCCTTCACCGTCAATGACACAGACAAGAACATCCCTCGGCCTCCCCGCCGGCATACCTCCGCCGCACCGATCCATCTCCAGCGATCGCACCGAGCAGCAAACGAAACGGTACTAGAGGATGACGCAGAAGAACTCCGGTTAGTGATAGACGATACGAACGATGCCGGAACCGAATCTTCGAGAAACAATCCTCCCCCGCTAATTACTTTAATCGATTCCGACGAAATCTTGGTCGGGTATTGAACTTCGCCGGGAACTAGTGCACTCAAATTTCCTAACCAAATCTCGGAGCTAAACATTTTGGAAAAGGAAATTTTAGAAAAAAGCGGCAATACCGATGATAATATAGAACTAGCCAAATTACCAAAATTTTAACGAAATCTACCTAAGACATTAAACTTAGGTTTGGGAAAATGATTTGGGGAAGTTATTTTTTCCTTTATGGTGTTTGGCAATTTTAGTAAACTAGTATTAAAACCGTGCAACGCACGGGATCGAACGCATGTTATTTTTAATTCTGCTAATTTTTTGTTTTAAGTAAATAAAAAAAAAAATAAATGTAAATATAATATAGAATGTTAGATACAACATAAACATATGCTAACTTAAATTCATATATATAAAAAAATTCATGTATATAAAAAATTGAAAAGAACATATAAACGTATCAATTAAATCCAAATTCTTTGGAAAACTTCATGGTTACCGTTGTCATCTAAAACTAACACTTTCAATCCTTTCTTAGTTTTTTCACTCGTAAAACTGCAACATAAAGTTGATCGTGAGTAAATACCGATTTGGTCAAGAATAATCCAACAAATGATAATGTCTGGCCTTGACTCTTATTGATTGTCATGCCAAAACATAAAGATATTGGAAACTGTTCTCTTTGAAACTTAAACGGTAATCCATGATCTAACAGTACAAAATTCAATTTTTTTCACAAAGGTATTTCCCAAAAGTAATTTTATCATGAAAACATGACTAATGCATTCCTTTATATTTGAGATATGTTTCTTAATTACTCTTTTATATTTGATCTCGTGTTTTCCAGATTTGTTTATGAATGAGATCTATTTTCCACTATAAGTACAAAAAAATTGAGTACTTATTAATAATTTCGATAAAAAAGATAGCGGAAATAAACCATATTTAAGTATATTTTTTTTATTTTACACTTTTATTAATTATACGTCTAAGAGAAATAATTTCATTTGGTAAATAGTTTAATTTAAGACATTTTTCATGGATGACATTTTTCATGGATGAAATTAGTACAAATAAAACAAACGTAGTTTTTCCGGAATCATCCCTAACTGCTAGCTTGATCAAATATCTACCAAAAACAGATTAAGCATTTTAAGTAATTTTGAATAATCATGTTTAGAAAGATGAATATAGGAAAAGGAAAAAAAACCTTGGGGTAACATTCAAAACACGACATGGATGCACAGTGCATGCAATAGTACATGGTACCATCCGCTCTCACAGATCTATTACACTTGCAAGCTAAATAAAACCAATCCCCACCACTGTTAACTACCTCAACAGTGGCATACACTACATAGGAACCATCTGAATATGTAGAACTCATTTTTTCTTTTTTTTCACATTCATAGATTTTAGTTGTTCTATTTTGGTCTCCTTGTGAATTCATGGATCCTCCCTTCTTCATCAATCTTCATGAGTTGTTGCATCGGAAACAAAAAAAATTGCAGGAGCATTCATATAACAAACTTGTTTTAGTGTTGAATTCTCAGATGGTTCGGCTCTAGTTGACACTTAATTTACTGGATTTGGTGTTAGATTCACGATGGTTCAGCTCTAGGTGCTCGCTAGTAGGTTATCCACCGTCGCTGTCATCCGTGGCCTCTGTTTGGTGTTGTACCGTTGCAGCACACCATCAAATCACAAAGCCAAGGGCTAGGTTTTTAAACTCTAGCTCTGACGCCCCATGCTATCTTGTCAAAAATGTGTTCTCCTGTAGCAAATGACTTGAGCTGGTTCAATGTAGCCATGGATTGAGTACAAGATTTAATCATCATATCTGGGTCCATAATCCTTGATTTCTATCGAAAGCATCTTCATTAACATTGTCTCTCTTGTAACTTGGCAGCTTCACGTTGTCCTTTTCTTCAAAGGGGTCAGACCTTGGATTTAAAATTTTAAGCTTGTGCTCTGCAGTTGTCGATTCCCCCTGCCTGTGCTTGACTCACAAAGTATTATCTAGGTCTAGCATCTCCCCTCTTCTACTATGTACTCATCTTCCCACGCCAAAAAGGGTTAAATCTGATGCTACCATAACATTTTTGGATAATCATCAAAACCAACATCTAAGTATCATAATCTCATTGCAAACAATATCACCATTTGAGATAATTGAACTCAATCACATTGCCTACCTCTTAGCAGCTCGAAGTGTTAGTCTACCTGTAATACTTCAAAGTTTGAACCTTGTTTGACAATGGAGTCTTCCTGCCAACACTAAACACTGGATATGGGAAGCCGAACTATAAACTCGTCAACCTCCTACTTCCAATGACTTGATCTTCCAACTATACGCCCACACAACGAAATACTCCATACAATAATACAAAGTCATTAAATGAATTAGCTAATTCATACAGAACCTACACGTGTAGTAAAGAAATTCTAAAAGACAAACATAAATTAAAAAAATACTCACCATCCAATAACATGTGCCTCGTCCCATTTCTGGATTCAAGAGCAGACAGGTCCCAAACATTACATTTTGTAAAATAATACCTTGAAACATTTTGACCTTAGCATATTGGATCAGAACAACAGCATGTTCCACTGACTGTTTATCAAAGAAACTTTTAAACATCTTCACATACTCTCCAAGTAGGTTAACATCCAACTTCATGTTAATTTATCAAAGTTTAAAAAAACCTTCATAAAACATCATTTGATGCATTAAGTGTGTTTTTGATCTATAAAAGTAAGACAATAATATAATACCTCGATGCCAATAACCTTACCTTCTTCAAATAGGCAAGGTAAACCTACACTGATTTCTCTAGTTCAAATGGCAAATATAAACCATTGTCATCATTAAGTGTTATGTATGCAAAAATGAATATTATAAGTGAAAGATGCTCAAATATAACCTGAGTCACAAACTCAAATCATCTGCTTCTTCTAAATTGATTGTCAAATATAAACTGAATTCTTTAAAACATCAAATTAACCATTCTTGAATTTAATTAACCATTCTTGAATTTAATCCATAAGAGAAATGTAGTTAATATTTGAATATAATAGACTATCAAAGGTCAGAGAAGAAAATTGAAAAAAAACTGAATAAACCATAAAAATGTCATAGCATCTAAACACCCTAGGATTGACGGTAGCCGAGAGCCTGAGGCAAGGAGTTGATGTCGTTCCTTTGAGCTAGTGAAATTCTAGTACTAATCTAAAACCCTCATGCAGTAATTCGTATAACCCCTTTAGAAATTAACAAATTCAATAAGGAAAAACCCTAAGAATTGGATATAAAAATCCAAAACATGATGTAGAGTCTTTCGTGATTACATATTCTCCCTTCTACAATTACCAAAAAAAACTGGGGTAATAAGGAATCTATAGAAATTGAATAAAAATTGGGGAAATCAGATGCCCAATTTGAATCAAAATTGCATATGAACTTTGAAAACAAACCTAGTTCTTGAATTCTCTCGCCAATTATTCGTAAGGCGGCACTTTCCCTTCGGTGTAGAAGTTCTTTCCTTTGACGGTGAAGAGTGGACGAAGAAGATTTCCAGAAGCGAGGAAGAGGATTCTTTCCGTTGGCGAAGGCCGAAGAGTAGAAGCGTGAAAAAAATCAAAGAGCGATTACTCTGATTAGGGAGAGACGCGCGTAGGCTTAGGTGTCAAAAAAATAGGACTCTAAAAGTGCCACATGTCATCATTCTAGACCTCAAACTCTCAAATTTTATATTAAAGAATTAATGTCAAAGTAAAATAACAACAAAGGTCAACGTAAAATAAGTTACTCCCTTCAACCTTACAAGATTGTCAAAATTTGATTTTTTTGGTCAAATTGTGATACCATTGATGGGTGTATTCCACCCAGGACCAGTCCACGGTTGGGTCCACAGTGTCTGACCGGTCAAACGATAAATTATTATAATAGAAGAATTATACGACAAAGGTTTATACCAGTCGGTGTCAGAAAGCCAACCGATACGCTTTGACTCTTTTACTGGTCAAATTACGAAGCTTTTTTTGATCATCTTCAATCTACATAAACCCATCATGCGTAAACCTAACCGGTAGGGCGTCTATGGCTAGGAAGTGTCGACATGAAAGGATCTAGGGAAGGTTGGACGATAGCGGTTGAATTTAACGAAAAATCACCAAAGATATTCGCACAATCTATCCAACACGCTCACAACAAGGAAGTCACTTTCCTAGCAAGATGACAAGAGAATAAAGGGATAAGACAAGCCACTAAGGGACAAAGGCAGTCACCTTGCGCCACCCAAAAACGTGGCCTGACGTGGGTGTGCGGCGCCTTGTCCCCTCTAGCTTCCTATAAATACTTGTGTAACCCTCAAATGAAGAGATCCGAATTTCACCTCTCTAGAATTCATATTGTAATAATTCCCAGTACTTTCTTGCATACTTAATAACAATTGGATTACAGGTGCTTGCACCTACAGTCCTACCGGTCACTCTTGCTTTCCACATTCCTTTATTTTCTAAGCTCAACAAACTATTCTAGACCCGGTCTAGTACAGTTTGCATGGTGGTTAATTTACACCATCATTTTTGGCACCGACCGTGGTGATGGCATTTGGTCTGAAAAACTCAGGGGCAACATACCAACACATGGTGAACAAGCTCTTCAAACCACTGCTGGGAAAAGACCATGGAAGCCTACGTAGACGACATGCTGATCAAGAGCCGGGTATTGGGGAATCACGCGGCTGATATGAGGAAGTCGTTCGAGATCATGGCAAGGAACAATCTCCGATTGAACCCCAAGATATGTGTCTTCGCGGTTTGAACCGAGAAGTTTCTTGGGTTCATGGTGACAAAGAAGGGGATAGATCCCAACCCAGAGAAGATTAGGGCATCACCAAAATGCAAGCCCTGACCTTGGTCAAGGACGTGCAGAAACTTACCGGGCGCCTCGCAGCCCTCAGCTGATTCCTCTCCCGGTCAGCGGAGAGATCCATGTCATTCTTTAAAGTCCTGAAGAAGGCCAATGCCTTTGCATGGGATGAGGAATGTCAGAGGGCATTTGAAGAGTTGAAGGAGTACCTGATGTCATATTTTGTATTGTCAAAACCCAAAACAGGTGAAACTTTGTATCTGTACTTAGGGATTTCCCCGCACGGTGTAAACTTTGTTTTAATAAGAGATGACGGGGCACAAAAGCCCATTTATTACGTGAGCAAAGCACTAAACTGAGATGAAAGTAGATACACGACGATGAAAAAAATAGCACATGCACTCTTCATTGCT